AAATTTTGTATGTATGTACATACAGGATAGTTAACATAGTTGATCTACTGTCTTCTATTTCTTTGCTGAAAGAAACAGTTAATGAGTCCTTGATTGATCAATATTGCACGTCTCTATTTGTTTTCATAAGAAACCACTTTGAAGATACCAATATGTAATACAACAAGCAGTGTTAAATTCCTACCACTTTGTTCGTAACTCTGTATTATTTGTATTGTTCTTTTGCTATTTTGTAAATGGTTGTCTGTCTCTTAATGTTTTCCTCCTTTTATTTTTAAAATAAAAAAAAATGAAACAAAACACAAATGCCTAGTTTAGCAAATAATCAGAGTACAGGAAAAAGTTTCAATAAGAAATTTAATAAATTAAGAATTAAATTGGTAGTGTGGGCAGCAAAAGTGACCAGTCTGAGGACAGAATTTTAGACCTAGAAAACTATGATGCCTTCAAAGCCCAACTACTCAAAGGCACCTACCTTAAAGGCAATGACAGAACATGAAAAACGGATCCAGCTATTGCTAGGTGACACTAAGAAGACTAATCTAAGAGTAATAGGGATAATTAAAAAATAGAAGACATGACAAATGGCATAAAGAACCTGTTCACAGAAATAATGGCAGAAATTTTCCCAAATATAGGGAAGAAATAAACATATAGACAAATGAGGAATACAGAACCCCAAATAGCCACAACCAAAATAGATACTCCCCATGCCAGGTTCACAAATGCTTTTGTTCATGAATAATTCAGTTCATAAAATGCATTCAGCAAAATTTTGCTTCCTTTTTTAAACTCTTCATCAGATGACAAATATGACCATGGCCATGTTTCCCAGAATTATGGAACAAATTAAGTTTGTGAACCAAGGTACCACTGTGGTCCATCACAGGGACAAAGTATTAAAAATTGTTAGAGAGAAGCAACAAACCACATAGAAAGGTAAACCCATTAGAATTACAGCAGACTTCTCAAAACAAACCTTTAAGGCCAGGAGACCTTGAAGTGTTTCAACTCCTCCATGATAACTTTCAACCCTGACTCATGTACCCTGCAAAATTTTCTTTCAACACTGATGTTGAAAAAAGGTACTTCTATAACAAAGAATACTTCAATATATTCATGACAAACCATTATTACAAAAAACTCTCAAGGAAAATTATTTGATCAATCTTGAGTGTCTATTTGTTTTCCTGAGAAAACACTTTGAAGATATCAATACCTAATAATACAACAACCATTGTTAATTTCCTACCACTTTGTCTGTAACTCTGTATTGCTTGTATTAAACAGAAGCAAGGACAAAAGTCATGCTCAAGGGATGCAGAAAAAGTACTTGGCAAAATCCTAAATCCATTCATGAAAAAATCTGAAAGAAAATAGGTATATAAAGTCTTTATCTCAATCTGCTAAAACTCATTTATGACAAACCAACAGCCAACATCTTATTAAATGGAGAGAAGGTGAAAGTTTACACTGTAAAATCAGAAAAAAAGACATGGATGTCAACTGTTAACACTGCTATTCAATATAGTTCTTGAAATGTTGGCCAGAGCAATCAGAGAAGAGAAAGAAATAAAATGAAAGGAAGAAATTAAATTATCATTATTTGCAGATGACATGATCCTGTATACAGAAGACCCCAACCACTCCACCAAAAAAACTCCTAGAATTAATGTGATCACAATGGGGATGCAATCTGTGTGTCTTGCTACCAGTAGTGGTAGATGCATGACTATTACAATGGGTGCCACGGACAGGCATGTATGTACCACCAGTGGTACTAGCCACCTGATATTTCAATTCCTTGTTATATAAGAAAATTATACCTATATACTTTAGTCATTATTATATTGTTGTTTGTAGCTGAAAATATTTCTGATACAATTTATATAAAGTTTTAAGAAAAATTCAAAAATTTTACATTTTAATCTGGTTTAATCCCATGCTGTTTTGTGACAGATATATATTTCATTATTTAAAAACAACCAACTTACCTCATTCTTCCATAGATGATATTGTAGTGCAAATGTTGTAAAGTCTCTTTGAATGCAGAAAAACTTGCATTTTGAAGCAGAGCCATAAGAAATATTTTTGACTTGTTCAAAGTTTTTATTAATCAACTCCAGAATCAAAGGATCAATAAGAAACACTGGTACATTCTGGCTCGATGTCAGCATAATAAATTTTTTAACTGCACGCTGTTTGAGAAGAAAACAATCCTTTATCACCACTAAATCAATACTACTACTTATTAAATTTCTATTTACTAATTTCATAAGAATGTATATGGTTTACCCAATAGGTGCCATGCTTATCACTGCACTAAAAATATAAGTAAATAATACCTGTAGTTCCTGCACTCAAAAAGTACTATTTTCTAAGGAAGATGAACAAATATTTACAATATAAAGTGAAATATGTACAGTATACTAAAAATACATAAAACAAAAATACACAACAGTAAGCTACTAATTAATTTAAAAAGTCTTTACAGAAGAAGTGGCATCTGAGATAAAAACACTTTGGGCTTACAAATTATTCTCTTGTTATCCGCTATATATTTTCAAGCAAAACTGAGGGAATATAGATCTGTCAGCTTTTAAAAGCTGTACTGTCTACCTTTCAAAATTAAAAATAAATTCTGTGTCATATTCTTCAGATTTATAATGTTGTTTAGTAACACTTCTAAGCAAAAGATTCAGAACAAAATACATTGCCTACTTCATTTCTCATATATAGAAGATTTTCTAATAATACTTCAATCTTTTTACATATAATTCTGTTGGACAATAAATAGGGTCCTCCACTGAAAAGAGAAATTTCAGTATCAGAATGAAAATAGGTTAAATTACACTTAAATAAATAATGTCTATGAGTAGCAAAATAGAATAACTGACATACATTAATATGAAATTTAAAGGAATGCATAGCATATCAAAAAGGTTCTCCAAGGAATTAAAAGTAATTTTAAAAAATTCTAATTCTACAAAATTGAACTTCTAAAGACACATACAAGATAATACATAGACAATGATACTGAGAGGTTTTATTTTCAACTTTATTTTATTCTATTTTTTGGTACTGGGAATCAAACTCAGGACCTTGCACTTGCCAGGTAGGTGCTGTGCCACTGAGCTATATCCCCAGCCTGATACTGAAAAGTTTTAAGAAACAGAAAAAGAATAAGATAAAGATAAGAATCAGTCATTTTTTAGTGTAGAATATTATGCAAATCCAAGAATATAATAATCTCTGCCTTAGAGAAGTTTATTATTTCTTTGTGAGACAGGCAGCTAAGTAAAAAGTTAGAATAAACAATTTTGTGCCAAAAATTTACCATCTTGGATGAAATAAACAACTTTTTCTTTAAAAATTCAATCTAACAAAACTACTAAGAAAAAAAAGTTTTACTATGTTTCTTTTTTTCTAAGGATCTTAGTTTCTGTCTTGTACTCTAACTTGAAGATAATGATACACAGTATACCAACTTGTTATTCTCTTATTTTGTTATGGAATTTTGCTTTATTTTTTTCATAAAATTTAAAAAAGATGACAAGAAAGCTGAACTGCCCAATACTTATTCAGAAAAACTGTATTTTTTAATTTAAAAATAAAAGAGCTGCCCTAAATAGTAAAACAAGAACCCAAGATTCAGGTGATTCACTATCGAATTCAGTCATAGTTTTAGAGAAGAATACAAAGTCTATGAAAACTTTCAGAAAACTGAGTAACTATTTCGTAGCTGATTTTATGAGGTCCACATAATACTAATAGCAAAATCTGACAAAGATACTGACAAAACAAAACTATAGACCACCATCCTCAAGAATGTAGATACAAAAATACTTAATAAAATATTAGAAAGTAAATTCCAGTAATTAAAACAAAGACAAAAAAGTAAATATTATGACCAAGTAGTATTTATCCCAGGAATGAAATGTTCATTTAGCATCTGAATATCAATTACCATGTTTTGCAAATATTTTTTAGTATGTGGCATGTCTACTCATTTTCCTAATGGGGTCTCTTTTGATGAGCAGAAGTTTTAATTTTGATAGTAAATCATTGTTTTTTCCTTTAGGGTAAATGCTTTCTGTGCTTTGGACTAGAAAAATTAAAAAATGGTTTTGGAAGGAAAATGATGAGATGACAGAAACTAGTACATAGAAGGTGCTTAAATGCTTGTTAAGCGAACCTCAGCTTAATGTTTAACAGAAATATCAAAAACAAAAACAAGACTTCATTATAATCATTAATATGAGTAGAAATTACAGAAGGACCAAGGAGAGATCCTATAACTCATCTTCTCAAAATAGCTTCCAGTTTATTTCCAATAGTCAGCAATACCTCTTGGAAACAGGTTTCCAGTTGATTTTGAATACAACTAATTCTAAATCAACATGAATATTATTATCTGGCCTTCAGTAATTCATTTTGTTTATAAGAATGAAAAAGGTCTTGTTGAAATAGGATATGGTGAGACCAAATAGCATATTAAAATTTCATCAAAACCTAAAAGGGCTTTACAGGCCTTGTTCTTAGTAAAAGTCTAACTCCTAGTTATCGTTTTCTAAATGTCAAGTCATCTGCTTGACAACTTATTCTAGAATTATCAGGGTTCAGTATTACACTACTGATCAGATTTTACTTTCCATTCCTTTAGGAAGAATACTACGAAAGTGTTTTAGTATGTCTTCCTTTCTTGTGATTTTACAAATATTATAGCAATCTATTGACAATTACAATTTTTTATAGTACCCTGCAATGTAACTGAGTTAGAACACAAAGAACTTAGTGTAATATGATACTTTTTAATTTTGTGCTTCTTTATCTTGGAAGTAAACCCTTTAAAAATCTGTTATTCACACCTCATGAATCACCTTCCAAATGAAAAAGATGGAGTTGCCCTATTTTGTTATTTTATACTTCAAATGATATACTATAAATTCCATTTTAAACTACATCAACCAGCACGGTGCATGTCTATAGGTCCAGCTATTTTTGGAGGCTGAGACAAGAGGATCACTTGAGCCCAAAAGTTCACGACTGCCCTGAGCAACACACAGCAAGGCCCCATCTCAAAAAATAAAATATATCTGTCAATCTCCTTGACTGCTTCATTCACTAAAAGGTACAGGAATACTGTCAGAAAGTTGTTGCTTAATCCACACAAACAAAAAATCTTCTAATCCCACTGAAGCTCTTACAGCTTTAAATTTTTTTTCTGAACTTGTTCTTTTAGTGTACATATCAAGACTATGAATGATAAATTTGAAAAATTTGTTCCTGAAACTATCATCACAGCTTAGAATGTTAATATTTATGATAGACTGCTCCCAATGCCTTTAAGACATCATATTCTCAGCTGTTAAAAAATAAATTTTAGTATATCAACATATTATTTAATCCATGGGAAAAATAAATATAGTTCAGTTTACTATGTGTGTGTGTTTCTTAAGAGTGGAATGGAGGTAGAGGAAGTGCACAAAATGTCTTTTTATTTAAGCTAGAGTTTTTTATTATTGTGAATAGGTAAAATAAATTCCAAGAACATCAGGCTTCCTTTTACATAGACAACCCCAAATTCATAGAGCAAAATATACGCTATTTTTAATAAATTACAAGTTCACATTGATATTTCTAGTCTAAATAAAGTCCAATAATAGGACTAAATAAAGTCTAGTCTAAATTCATAGAGCAAAATATATGCTATTTTTAATATTACAAGCTCACAGTGCTATACTAGTCTAAATAAAGTCCGATAATAGGATATCCCAGACTTTCCTTTTAAATTAGTAGTTGAAATCCAATTGGTGCCTGTGATGATGTAATTACTACTTGGTGACCTGGAAATTCTAATCTAAAGCCTTCCACATCTTTGGATACAAAGAAAGTAAAGATCAACTGTATCCACAAGAAATATCTGGTCATTTTCCATCATATGTACTAACAGGATAAATATTATTTATTAGTAATTTAGTATTTTTTATTCTAAATTTAGTATAGAAAGAAGCTAAGAATATATATTACAAATGTGCAAACTCTGAAAATTGGAAAACAAAATAAAGATATAATACATATATCACTAGTTTCCCTCATCTTAGGAAGGAAACATGTTGAATAGATTTTTATTCTTAAGAAATACACAAATGAATGAATAAGAACACTGTAATTGAGAAATTTCTTATTTATTGTACATACCCACTGTACACTATCAAATCCAACTCTACTTCCTTTAGATTTTGATAAACCAGCTCCATTCTAGAAAGGTAACAAAAGATTTAGTAAATTAAAAGCCCTGCATGTAACACTGTATTAGGGTGAGTACAACAGTCAAACTATAATTAGCTCATACAAGAGTCAAACAGTAATTAGCTCATAGGCACTTAAAAAGCATTCTCCAAATACTTATCTTCATATACCAGGAGCCAAGAATTCTATGATTTTACAATATAACAATCTAACATGTAAAATACTAACAGAAGTTATTAAACAGTTATCTCTGAGCCAATTAATGCCCATCACTGAATAGCAAGCTCTGCCACCTCTCTGGAATCAGTCTGTCCACTTGGCGCTGTATTTCTAACCTCAACTTATTTCCATATTTCAAATTAGTGTCTGCGGATTTTACCAAAGTGATAAGAAAGTATACTTACTGAGTAGCTCTTAAGTGTCAGGTACTATGACACGTCTATGTATGAATTACATATTAACATCTGTCCCTCGCAAGAATAAAGTAGGCATTATTTCTGGTTTCCAGACAGTCCTGGCGCCCACACTTTTCCTAACACACAGCATAGTTTGAAATGTTAGAGTTATTTCTTAAATATTTTAAAAAATATTGGGGTCTAGAGAATCAAGATAAAGAAAAACATGAGATTTTATCCGATAAGCTGAAATACTTCAAAAGTAACAGGAGGAAGGATGTCTGATGGTCTAGAGACAAGAGGAAGAATGTTTCAAGCTCAAAGAAAACCCAAAGAAATGTCTCATGCTTTCCATGTGTCCTTCACCTAAATGCTCAGAATGAGAGGATGCTGAACAGCAATCAGAGTAGCCTCACTTTGTAAGTGAAATTAGCCCCAAGTTCCTAAGAGTAGGAAGTCCCTTCCCACTACAGTACATACTCAAGGGCAGGCACCATGTCTGATCCCTCTCTGTATCACTAATGCTTGTTCGCACAGTGTCTGCTATGTGGTAAGTGCTGACTATGGGCTTGTTAACTGGAGGGAGAAGAAGGAGACAAGGATGAATATATTGAATATTAAGGTAGAACCAGAGCTGCTCTCCTCATGAGCTTTGCAACTTAGCCAATAACATTTTCATACACACAGATCGGATGGTTAAGAAAAAGGCAACTTTGTAGTCTTCAATCCTAAAGAGATTGTAGACTCTGTAATACAGGCATTTCTTGCTCACCACACCCCTACACTGGTAGAAAAGACCGAATTCATGAGCTGTTTAATTTGTTGAGTTAGAGATAAGTAAATTTCTAGTTAACTAGATTATATTTTCATTGTGCTATAGATCACATACCATGAAAGTTGCCCTTTTAAAGTGTATCATCCAGTAGTTTTAATACATTTAGAGTTGTGTAACTATCACTATCGAGAATATTTTCATTGCACCAAGAAGAAACCATATTCCCATTTAGCAGACACTCCCCAGTCTTCCTCCTCTGAGCCTCAACCATACCACTAATTTTCTTCTCTATCAATTTGCCTAGTATGGACATTTCATAAAAATGGAATCATGGTATGTATCTTTCTGCATTTCACTTCTTTCACTTAGCATAATATTGTCAAAAGGTTCACCTAGGCCGTGGGATGTACCAGTACTTAATTTCTTTTTGTGTCTCAGTATTATCCTATTCCATATTCATCATCTGATGAATACTTGAGCAATTTCACATTTTGCAATTATAAATAATGTTTTAAAAACATTCATGTTTTCTAAGTCACATTCTTGTGTATACTCAGAACTTGCCTCTACATCACTTCACTTTACTCGCTTAGTGAAAATCCAACCCTCCTTAATGGTGAAGAAAGGCTGAGGAGGTAAACACAACATATCCTATACACTGTACTATGAAGTATGGATCTTAGTTTTCATAGCTATGCTATGCAGAGACAAGGCAAGCCTCCTTCTGTTCCTTACACTGTATCCAGGCTACTGGGATTAAGGTGGCATCAAACCAATCAGTGAACTAATTTAGTGATCACTCACCCTTAATCCTAGCAACCTTGATCCTAGCATTGCATCATAAATCAATCACACACTCTAGATTCAGCACCTCTGAAAAAGTCCCATCTATGACTGCATGAGGCTTTGGGGAGATGTCTACAAGCAAGGCATCCCCCTAAGCAAATACTCCTTTTTCCTGAACAAATGACAGACTGTGAGACTCTTTGTAGTCCTTCTCAATAAAGTGCTATAGGCATTTACTATTAGAAGAAGGTATTAGTTTCTAAACCATCGTCTCTAATTATTCCTGTAGATACAGATAAAGGTAACTTATACTATTACTATACCCTCACAGATTCTAATTAAATACAAATTACAGTAGCAAACTAATTCTAGTATCTTATTAAATTTATTTGTCGCTAATTTCATTTAAATGAGGGACTGTTTCGCAGAAAAACAGTTTTGAATTAACTAAATCAGAAAATCTCAATAGCTGAAATGGTACTGAAACTTTGCACTTTGGACTTTATAGTGTATCATTAAAAAACATTCAACTGCACTCTGAATTGCATTCCACTTCCCACAAAAATGAGAATTTCAGTAAGAAGTGTTTCTGCAAAGATTGAAAAACTGATTGATTTTATGTATTCCAAACCAGAAGTATGTTAAGAAAATACACAGCTTAAATAGTCAAATGATAAGAAGAAAAAATTACCTTTGCTGATAAATAGTGCTTGTAGTAGTACAACTGAAATAGCAGAAATGCAGAACTCGACAGTGTGAAAAGGGCCAAAATCACGTTCTTACTGATTCTACTCATCGGTCTGTGGAATTCGCTTTGTCGTCTTTTGTAAGTAACCCAGTTATTTTCATCTTTTTGGATAGGAAGATAAACTTATTTTCTGTGGACAAAAATAGATTTCTGAAAAAAACAAAACATTATTTAATATTTCTTACCTGTAAAATCAGCAATAGCAGAAAGAAAAAAATTATCTAAAGTTCCACAGAATATTTTGACCAAGGGGAGGGGCTTCTCCAAAGCTTCTGATTGAGTAGATCTGGTGTGGAGCCTAAGAGTGTGCATCTCTGACACGTTCCTAGGTGATCCTGCAGCTGCTGATCACACTGAGAGCTACACTGTGGGCCAAGAAACTGAAAAAATTTTTGGTCAAGAGAGATGGTCTACATGATAGGTCTATGTAGCTTTTTGAAAGAGGATGTGTGTGTGT